CAATGGCTTGGCCACACGTACTGGCGCAAAGCCATCATCGTCGTCAACAACAAAACCGTCGGCTTGGAAACTACGATTGGCCTGTTTGCGGGTAGGATGGCGTGGTGCATCAAAGACATCTTCATCGTCGTCATCTTCATCCTGGTTGTAAGCAAATGACCTTATCTTTTGCTTATTCCCGCGCACAGGAGAATCGACATTGGTTGATGGGAACTGTGTTTGCTGTTTCTTCGTCTTCTTTGCAGCAGGCGCTTTCGAAAATGCCTTCACAGATGCTTTGCCTGGTGAACTGCGTACTTGCAACTTCAGCTGCTTCCGCCTAGTTTCGTAGTCGTTGCGTGTCGAAGCAGGCTAAGAATGTCAGTAAGTGAAAGATGCATCATCATAGAATACATACATGTAAGTAGCTAGTCGCAAACCCGCTCTTGTTCACCTTGCTCTTTTCTTTGAGATCACCAGCATCCAGCAGTTGTTGAAAGATGCGCTCATTGTCACCCCTTTCTAGGTCCTTACCGTAGCCCCATCCGTATTCTTCCAATCCAGCACTCTTGATCTTGGCACTGCCGGCACCACGGAAGGCATCTACGCATTGGTGCATTGTGACATTTTCCTCATGGATCTGGCTGACAAGCTTAATGGCCATAGCAGCGTACACTGTAAGGTCCTTTGTAACGAACGTGGCATCCGACCGGCAGTTATCACATGTCGAGTTGCACTTCGAGGGATCGAATGCTTCACTAAAGTATCCGAGTACTTGAGCGCGTCGACAGTCGGCTTTGTTCTCGCAGTATTGGATCACAGTTCGCAGCATGTCGCTTAGTCGTTGCTTCTGCTCTCTGCTGCCATCGCCCTCATCAATCATCTTGCGCAAGATCCTCGAGTCCGCATACTGATAGTACAGGTAACACTCTGACCGCTTACCATCACGACCAGCACGACCAGTCTCTTGATAGTAGCCTTCCAGACTCTTTGGTAGCGAGTGATGAATGACATACCGTACATCAGCTTTGTCAATACCCATACCAAAGGCGATTGTGGCCACGATGACATGATATTCGTTCTTCTGCCATTTGCGTTGAACCTCAGACCGATCGGCCGAGTCCATTCCGGCGTGGTAATGGTAGGCACGGATACCCATCTCAGACAGCTTCTGGGCTACTTGCTCGCAGCTCTTCCGTGATAGGCAGTAGATAATACCAGACTTTCCGACATATCGCTCCTTGATCAGATCCGCAATACTGTTGATGATGCCTTTTGCTTTCGGTAACACTTCATAGGACAGATTGGGGCGATTGAAGCTCTGGGAGAATTCCCGGCAACCTTGGATACCAAGATTGGATACCACGTCGGAACGGACGAGTTTGGTAGCAGTTGCAGTTAGCGCAAGCACCGGAACTCCAGGAAACTGTCGAACAACGTCTCCAAGTGCTTTGTAGTCTGGTCGGAAATCGTGACCCCATTGGCTGACACAATGTGCCTCGTCGATGACAATCCTGGCAAGGTTACCCCCAGAATGCAATTGCTGGAAAGCACTAATCATCCTCTGGTTCTTACTAAGCATCTCGGGTGTCACGTAGAGTATCTGGATGAACTTCTGAGGATCCTTTTCGCGCAAGGCGTCCATAATCATCCTCTTCTGAGCTGCGGTTGACTCTCCGTTGATGAGAAATGCCTGCATGCCGAAACGCTGTTTGCAAGCCTCAACTTGGTCTTCCATCAAACTCAATAGCGGAGAAACAACCAAGGTTACCCCGTGTGTCTTGCCCGAAGTGATAACTGAGGGAAGCTGGTAGCAAAGTGACTTTCCTCCTCCAGTAGGCATTAGCACAAAGCAGTGATCGCCAGCTAGCGTGGTGTTAATAGTCTCCAATTGCCCAGGCCGGAAACCTCTCAGACCAAACCGACGAATGAGTGCCGTCCGCAGATCTTGGGACCAACGAAAGTTCATTCCAGGGTGATTCTTGGCCGGCATATTCAGTTGCGGCTTCTTTGGTGATGTTTGTTGGTTTTGTTTTGGTGCGGCTTTGTTCGGCGAAGCTTCACGGAATACCTCGCGAGTGTTTGTCGACGGGTTGGCTCCTCCTGTTCGTTCACCTTTCCAATTGAAGTTGCCTGGTACCTGGTTCTCGATGTTGTTGACTTCATGGAGAAATTCATCGTCATCCGCGCCAAACTCGTCGTCACTTAGCTCGATTGGCTGATGGAGCTCACCCATATGATGAGTAAACAGGTTTTCATCGTCCTCAAATTCCATGTCTTCGAAATCATCAGGCGCTTCATGATGGGCTACTGGCTTCGACTTTTTCGGCGACCGCCGATGTTCCGGTGTCTCAGGTATGCGGTGAGATCGATCTTTCGGCATGTGGTTGTGCATACCTGTCGCACCGTTTTCCGTGCGGGAGCGAACACCAAGATTTGGAGGAGGTAGCGGAGAGGCAACCACCTTTTCCTCGGCGAATCGTATGCGGCGAGTTGGTGTAAATACCCCTTCAACAACACTGTCGCTGTGCTTAGGATACTGTGTTTGAGGGATCCGATGTGGCCCTGAATCCTTTGAATTATCAAGGAATGATCGCACTGGGCTCGTTTGAGTTGACTGGATAACCACGTTGCGGCTGCTCTTCGGCTCTGCCTTTACGACAGACTTGGGTTGCTGCTTGATGGCCGCCAGATCCAGCAGGTAATACATTTGGATCTGGATGTCCTCAATCATCTTGAAGAGTCTGCTGAGAGTTTCACCATCTGCTGCGTCAAACTGACCCATGTCCAAGTCGTCTTCAAGTTTTTGCTTCACCTTTTGCCGCTCGTTCACAAGGTCACTATGTTTGGTCTTCAAGACCATCAACTGCTCTACCGCGTCCTTCCGTGAGCGAGCGCGTCCCATCCTTTCCTGTTCGCTAGGGTCGGGTACACCATGCTCGGAGATATGGGCAACAAAGGTAGCGCGGGCATCTTCCCATGCTAGCCTCGCCGTGCGGAGATGGCTCTCCAACCTTTGACCCTCAGTTTTCAAGAATGCATCGATAGTGTTTTTAATGGCACTCTTTTTTTCCTTTGATAATTCTGACGAGCTTGGGATAGGCTTGCTGGGAGCGGATACTGGCAGAGGTGCAGATTTGGTATTCTTCTTAGGGGATTGCGACTTCGCTGGGGTAGGAATGGAGTCTTGCTCAGGTTGGTGTGGACTAGGACTTCGCAAGACCTTCACTGGAGAACGTATGGGTAGCTGCGTCTGGCTCGCAGACACAGCTGGATTTGACACTGGCGTCTTTTCACGTAGCCTTTGTTTCGAAGGCGTAGGTGATTTTGTCCGGGCTTGAGTGTCAATGTCCATCTCATCTATCACACCAAAGTCTTCGTCTTCAGAGTCCATCACCGCATGTTCAACTCTCCTGGTAGTAGGCGCGCGCGTACGACCCGATTTAGGTACCGCAACTTCGGCTGCGTTAGGCCTAGTCTTGCTAGGGCTAGGGCTACGAGTCTGCTTCCCCATCTTGCGAGCCGGGGCATTTTCTGAAGGCACACGGCTCAACGGTTTACGCTTGCGCGGTTGTGTAGACACCGCCTGTTCTGCCTCTGCTATCCGTCGCTCCTCCTCTTCTATTTGTAACATTGCCTCCATATCATCGTCCTCAGTGTCCGCAGCTTGCTCTGGTAGAGGCTTTGTAACCCCTGCGACAATCGAATATGGTGGAGGCGGACTATCCGGAGCCATGACTATGTCTTCGATGTCAGGAAACTCGTCATCGTCGTCGTCGGGCTCTGAGGCGAGCGTAGGGGCAGCTCGAATCGGCCTGGGAGACTTGGCCTGCCGGAGGTCTGCCTCAAACTCATCGCTCTTCCGTTTTCGTCCTTTGGGGGTGCGCATTGGAACTGGCGAAGAGGGAATCGTATCATCTCCAGTAAGGTCAATGGAGTCAACATCAATCGGCTCCATGCGACTCATTCCAGCAGTGCCATACTGTGAAGCGGGCACTTCCATATGTCCGTTGATCTTCCTTGAGGTTGTCGGTCGATCTCGAGTGCTTTCCAAACTGGCCCTTCCCGGCTCGGCTGTGGTGTTCTTCCCATTCCTTGTCCTGCTTGGGGACGTCGAGTACGATACATGGTCCGGTAACCCCGCTACAATGAGTCTGGGTTTCCCGCTTGCAGACGTAGCCCTCAGTCTTGCCATATCCGAACTCGTACCCTCAGCCTCTGGAGGGTTGTGTATATCGATTGGCCTCGTAGGAGCGAGACTGCGGGGTAGAATGGATCTAGCGGTTTGAGGTGCTGATGGGGGCGCTGGCACGGAGGCAGGCTGAGGTTCATTGTATGCCGTTTGCGCGTCCGAGTGCGAAGAATGTTGCAGTGAGATTGTCGCCGAACTCGTAGGCTCAGCGCTGGCTTCGTATGCCACGAGCGATGATGCGGGAGGAATAAATGGCTTCTCGTTAACCAACCACTGGAGGTTTTTACTAAGATTGTTCCGAGGCATGAGAGCGTCGCATCGTCGGTGTGAGAATCCGCATCGATGTTTTACACGTGCATCCACAGCAGCGTCACGTTTTAACGGGCGTGGTGTGGCGACATCACTATCCGCATCCTTGACCGTGTTATGCTAAGTCCGCAACACGCGCCGCGCTAGCGCCAAGTCACGTGTAGGCGTCCCCTCAGACTAGGATCTTGCATTCTCTATTACATATCATCATGGACGATAATGGCACCATCACGGCTTCGGTCTCGGCAACCTTTGACACTCGCCCGCATCCTCAAATTCCTGGATGTATGCCGTTCGAGTGTCACTTACAGAACCATGAAATGCTACCAGTAGTCTCGTAAGCTGGCTTCAATCGGAATTAGGCATCCTTCGGCTTCAAAGAACCGTCGTAGTAAGAGTCATGTGCTCTTGTACCACTCACGTCTCCACCCCACGGTAGGCAGCATAGTTCTTTTCTTAGGCACACCGCAATCACACCGCCATCCCAGAGATTGTTTGCAAACAACGCCAGCCCCGTATCATGGAAGTTCAAAGCCAGGAACCATTCAATCAACTCGCCGTGGAGATTGCAAAGATACACGTGCAGCCACCACCCGAGGACGTCCTTCCATCTGGCGATACATTGAGCAGTGCTCGTTCCAAGCTCCAAACTCATCTTCCCGCTAAGGGAGTAGGTCTTGAAGAAAGCATACGGCACCTACGTCAAGACCTAGTTCCGGCATTCAACGCCTCTTCTCGCTCCCCTAATTACTATGGTTTCGTAACTGGTGGAGTCAACCAGGCAGCGGCCCTTGCCGACAATTTGGTCACAGCATTCGATCAGAACGTGCAGGTGCACTTACCCAATGAGACCATTGCCACAGATGTGGAGGATCGGGCACTGTATTTGCTTTGCGAGCTGCTGAACTTCGAGCCCTCGCAATGGCCGCATCGGATCTTTACTACGGGTGCTACAGCAGCCAATGTTCTAGGCCTTGCTTGTGGACGGGAATATGTGATTGCTGAAGCTTCTGCACACCGTACCGATGCCGAGAACAGCGTTGGCGAAGTTGGTATCGTAGAAGCTATGCGCAGGGCTGGCATCGACGACATCCAAATCTTGACTACTGTACCACACTCATCATTAAGTAAAGCTGCAAGCATTCTGGGGCTTGGGCGAGCAAGTGTCAAGTGCCTAGGTCGCTCAGACGCACCGCATAAATTCGACATGCAGCTACTCAAAAAGTCATTGGAACTACCAGGTGCCGCATCAATTGTCGTGGTATCAGCTTCCGAAGTCAACACAGGTGTCTTCGCTACTTCAGGGCTAGAGGAGATGCAAGAACTTCGCAAGCTATGTGACATGCATGGGGCATGGATACATGCTGACGGCGCGTTTGGTCTTTTCGGTCGGATCCTTTCATCCCCTGCCCACTCTTCTATCATAGAAGCATGTGCCGGCTTGGAACTTGCGGATTCGATAACCGGTGATGGGCACAAACTCCTCAACGTGCCCTATGACTGTGGCTTCTTTCTCTCCAGACACCGCGCCATGGCTGAACGTGTATTTCAAAACCCCAACGCTGCCTATCTTGCCTCCGGCAACGGCCCCGATACCATCATGTCACCACTGAACATTGGCCTGGAGAACTCTAGACGTTTCAGAGCTCTGCCGGTGTATGCGAGCTTGGTGGCATATGGAAGGGACGGATACAGAGACATGCTTGGGCGCCAAATCCAATTGGCACGTGGAATCGCGCGATATATTCTGCAAAGCAGCCAGTATGAGCTTCTTCCTCAGAAAGAAGCCTCTCATGAAGATATTTTGAGCGGAATTTTCATCATCGTGTTGTTCCGTGCAAAGAATGAGGAACTCAACAAGCAACTCGTCGACAAAATCAAGGCAACAAGGAAGATTTATGTTTCTGGCACTTCGTGGGAAGGAAGGCCGGCATGTCGTTTCGCAATATCAAACTGGATGACGGACGTTGACAGAGATTTGCCAGTCATTAAACAAGTATTACAGGATATTGCCTAGGAAAAGAACTCGTTATTACCCTACATCAATACACGTTTTCTATGTGTGATAGACTGGTGCTGTGCAAAACATCAACCTTCTCATATGTCTTCAATTTTATACACCTCGTATGCAGGCTCTTCATATGGATGTGCTCTGTCCAAGTCAACATTTGGTACTTCACTGCATTGGTGGACTCACTTCTTTAGTGCTTCGACAGCCTTGACCGCTGCATCATGGCCCAGACACAGCGTCTCTACCCTGTATTCATCGACCTCTTCTAGCTCACCAACTTTCCCGATCTGCCCAAACATCGTCAGTCTCGTGCTTTGGCTCTACATAGGCATATAGAAAGTTCAACACAACTCACATTTGGATTGGCGGCATCACCAGGCCTGAACTGTCCGGTGCCCCTGGTACAGAAGCATACCTCGGTATATCCACCCGGACCTGGGTAGCGTCCTGCACCAGAGCTGAAAACAGCGGTCTTGCAAGCGCTCAGGGCCGAGGGAGGCACGAAGAAGACAAGCTTGAATTTTTGGAGGGCAGATGCCATGGGGACAGGTATAGCAGGATGATATGAGAGAGTATGGCAATGTTTTTGGTGATACTGAGATGAAAATGTTTGGCGAGAAGAGGCTGAGGCTGGTCAGGCCATGATAAATACATCTACTGACCACAAGTGACGCTGTAGTGGGGACCGACATTGTCATTGTGTCACCTGCGGCGCCCTACACAAAGTTGACATGTTGACATCGGGGTCATGATGCCTATTTCGTCCAACTAGCAAGCAGAGTTTGTTTGCAATTCTCGATGACTTAATGGAAACGTGATAGTGGACCACCAATAGCCAAAATATCCCTTCTTGTTGGAGGGGCGGGCTATGTCGTTCAGGTCCCTGAGACCAAATGGACGCGTGGGGCGGCGCGGGGTTGACCCGTGCTTAGCGTGGTTTCCTCGAAAACAAACAATGGAAGGCGCAGGGCAGCAATCAGTCAGAAGACCCGAGGGACACACGGCCTCTATATCACGACTAACATACACGCACAGCGACACCGACAATGTCTTATGAGACGCCCAGGAAGTCGACGCGCGCCGCTGCGACACGCCGAAAGGCACCCGTCATTGAGGAATCAGATGGCGAGGAGAACGGGACACCAACCCCGGAAGTGAAGGAAGAGGAAGAGGAGGAATTCACACCAGCACCTGCGCCACTCAAGACTGGACGAGGGAGGGGGAGACCAAAAAAGGCTGCGGCCCAGGGCGAAGATGCAACACCCAAGCCAGCTGCAAGGCGGCGGCCTCGCATTACCGAGTCTGCGGAGCCTACACAAGCATCGAGTCGTGCAGTGGAGAGCACCGGGGCCTCTTCGCCTCCCAAGGCAATGCCCAAGAAGCGTGGGCGGAAGCCTCGTGCTTCAGTTGCCCCGGTGGAGCCAGTCGAGGAATCGTCCCAGCTACTCACACCTGACCCCTCTGTATCCCCTGAACCCGAGCAGGCCTCAGAGACTACAATCGCACCTAGCTCGCCTCAAGCCGACGTTGACGGCGATACGATTATGACCGACGCAGCGCCTGTTCCTGAACCACAACCAGAGATTGAGCCAGAGACAGAGCTTGAGGCAAAGCCCGAACCCGTTGCTGAAGTTACACAAATAGAGGCGAAGGAGGAGACCCCCATACCAGAGCCCGAAGTGGAGACTCAGCAACTAGAAGAACCGCAAGCTCCGGCCAAGGCATTGGAAGATGCCAACACGCAGCAAACTATGCTCGAACCCATTGATATTGTGGTCAAGAGACGAGCGGCTGCCATACCCTCTTTACATGAGCCTGCCCCACCAAAGCAGCGCACAGTAATCACCTGGCTTGTTCTAAACAACTTTAAGAGTTATGCTGGTCGGCAAGAAGTGGGCCCATTTCATGCCTCATTCTCTTCGGTCGTAGGGCCCAATGGTTCAGGCAAGTCCAACGTCATTGACTCGCTACTTTTCGTCTTTGGTTTCCGCGCAAACAAGATGAGACAGAGCAAGCTCTCGGCCCTGATTCACAACTCGGCTGCGTTTCCAAACTTGGAATTTTGTGAGGTCGAAGTCCACTTCCAGGAAGTAAAAGATCTTCCTGACGGTGGGCATGAGGTTATCCCAGACTCACAGCTCGTGATTTCGCGAAGGGCTTTCAAGAACAACTCGAGCAAATACTATATCAACAGAAAGGAGTCAACTTTTACTATTGTCACAAATCTGCTCAAGGACCGAGGGGTTGATCTGGACCATAAGCGCTTTCTCATTCTCCAGGGTGAAGTCGAGTCTATTGCACAGATGAAACCAAAAGCCCAGGGCGAGCACGATGACGGTCTTCTCGAGTATTTGGAAGATATCATTGGCACGTCCAAGTACAAGACACCGATTGCAGAGTCGGAAGTAGAAGTCGAAACTCTGAACGAAGTCTGCCGGGAGAAGAGCAATCGCGTGCAACACGTGGAAAAAGAAAAGGGTGCTTTAGAGGAGAAGAAAGACAAAGCTCTAGCATATATCCGGGACGAGAACGAGCTCGCTGCGAAGCAGTCCACTCTCTACCAGATTTACGTTTCTGAGTTTGATGATCACATCCAGGTCACCCAGGAATCCGTCACTCAGCTGCAGGCTCAGCTAGACGAGGAACTCCAAAGACATCAGGGCAGCGAAGAAGAGATCAAGGAACTCGAGCGTCGGTACAAGAAGGGCGCAAAGGAATGCGAGCAGCTCGAAAAGAAGAATCAGGAATTTCAGAAGGAAGTAGCTCGCATCGACAAGGAGTCCGTCAAGTTTGAAGAGAAGAAAAAGTTCCTAGCGGGCAAGCAAAAGAAACTCGAAAAGACCAAGGAAACGAGCTACTACGGCCGCTCGGAGGCAGAGAGCCTCGCAAAGCAGTACTCTGATGATCTCGAACGTTATGCCGAAGAGATTGCTGAACTCGAGGAAAGCATGAAGGTCGAAGGAAAGGAGCTTGAGGCTATTCGAAAGAGCTTGGCAGGCAAGACGCAGGGTCTTTCGGATGAGATTGCAGCAAAGCAGAAGTCTTTGGAGCCTTGGAAAGCCAAGATCAACGAGAAGCAATCAGCCATTGCTGTCGCGCAAAGTGAACTCGACATTATGCGTGAGCGCGAGAATGCGGGTGCCAAGGGTATCGCCGATGTTGAGGCCAGAATTGAAGGCTTGGAGGAAGCCAAACAGGCCAAGGCTGCAGAGCTTGACGAATGCAAGGCTGAAAGGAAACGAGTGGAGAAGGACATCCAGAAAACGCAGGCCAAGCTCGAAGAGGTTACGCAGAAAGAACCTTTGTTGAGGTCGAAGCTTTCTGGAGCACGAGCAAAGGCTGATGAGGCTCGTGCCAGTCTTTCCTCTGCTCAGACTCAAGGCAATGTCTTGACAGGTCTTATGCGCTTGAAGGAGTCTGGACGTATTGACGGCTTCCACGGTCGTCTTGGTAATCTTGGTACTATCGATCAGAAGTATGACGTTGCCATATCGACGGCCTGTCCGCAGCTAGACAACATGGTTGTTGATACTGTGGAATCCGGCCAGCAGTGCATTGAATACCTACGAAAGAACAACCTTGGTCGCGCCAACTTCATCCTACTGGACCGTCTTGCCAAGCGCGACATGTCGCCTGTTCAAACTCCAGAGAACGTACCTCGTCTCTTCGACCTTGTCAAACCCAAGCATGAAAAACTCAGACCCGCCTTCTTCCAGGTCATGACAAACACACTTGTAGCTGAGGACCTGGACCAGGCTGAGCGTATCGCGTATGGTGCCAAGCGATGGCGAGTGGTTACCCTAGATGGCAAGCTCATCGACACAGCAGGAACCATGAGTGGTGGTGGAAGTCGCGTGGTAAAGGGCAAAATGTCATCCAAGCTTGCGTCAGATGTCTCAAGGGACCAAGTTGCCAAGCTTGAACAGGATCGCGATACACTGGAGCAGACCTTTACAGAGTTCCAGCAAGAGCTGCGCGAGTTAGAGACAAGCCTGCGAGATCTCAACCAGCAAATTCCTGAGCTGGACACCAAGGCACAAAAGCTTGCACTCGAGTTGGAGAGTTTCGACCGCAACATTCTTGACTGCCAGCGCCGCATCAAGGAGCTGGGCAGCGAGCAAGCGTCTACTAAGACGGATAAGGGCCGCATCTCATCACTAGAGAAGAGCATTGCTTCGATGGAGAAGGACGTTTCCAAGCTCGGCGCTGAGACAGAAGACATTGAGGCAGAGATCAAGGCTCTACAAGACAAGATTATGGAGATTGGAGGTGTCAAGCTGCGAGGTCAAAAGGCCAAGGTTGATGGTCTGAAGGGCCAGATTGATACGCTTACTGAGCAGGCTTCAAGCGCTGAGGTTTCCAAGTCGAAAGAGGAGAAGCAACGCGCCAAGTATGAGAAGGCACACAACGACGCCATCAAGGAACTGGAGAAGCTTGCCACCGAAGCCGAGAAGGTTGAGGGAGATATGGCCTCTCAACAACGGGATGTCTCTGGAATACGACAACAAGCTGAAGAAGCACAAGAGGAGCTTGAGGCCAGGAAGGAAGAGTTGCAGGTCGTCAAGAATGAGCTTGATGAGAAGATGACCGAACTCAACGAGACACGTGCTGTCGAGATTGAGATGCGCAACAAGCTCGAAGAAGGACAAAAGACTCTCCATGAATTCCAGAAGAAGCAGGCCTACTTCCAAGACAAGTTGAGCAAGCTTGCGTACAACAGTGTAACAGACCTGGGCGAAGAGCAAGAAGGCGGCAGTGGTGGCGAAGGTCTACCTTCCTACAGCAAAGACGAACTCCAGGATATGGACAAGGCTACTCTCAAGGAGCAAATTGCGCACCTGGAGAAGAAGAACGAGTCTACACAAGTCGATCTATCTGTTCTTGCTGAATACCGCAAGCGTGTGGAAGAACACGCTGCACGCTCAGCAGACCTGGCAACGGCTGTCAGTGCACGTGACGCTGCAAAGCACAAATGCGAAGAGCTTCGACGCCTACGCAAAGAGGGCTTCAAGGAAGGCTTCGACATCATCACGGCACGCCTCAAGGAAATGTACCAAATGATTACCATGGGTGGCAACGCCGAACTTGAGTACGAAGATACGCTTGATGCCTTTTCTGAAGGTATCCGTTTCTCCGTCATGCCTCCCAAGAAATCTTGGAAAAACATTAGCAACTTGTCTGGTGGAGAGAAGACGCTGTCATCTCTTGCCTTGGTATTCGCACTGCACCATTATAAGCCGACACCTTTATACGTTATGGACGAGATTGACGCCGCGCTGGATTTCCGAAATGTGAGCATTGTCGCGAGCTACATCAAAGAGAGGACCAAGAACGCGCAGTTCATAGTCATTTCGCTTCGAAACAACATGTTTGAACTTGCAAGTCGGTTGGTTGGTGTTTACAAGGTCAACCATATGGTAAGTTGCACAATGATAAACTTATGGTGGCTTGAATCGTGGCTAACAACGCGACAGACAAAGAGTGTTACGATTGAGAACAAGGATTATATCAACGCCCAGGCATGATGGGAATGAATAGCAGCGTCATGCCTTCTCAATATAGGCGTTTGGGTGTTTGGAAAATGGTATCACGAGGGATGCGTTTGGTATAGAGCAAGTTGGGGTTATGATACCACAGGGAGATGTCCACGGCTTGGTACTTGACGACTAACGCAATTTTCATGTTGTTTTTTCTTTTATGACTGTACCCATTAGATGTTTGTTCAATATGAAAATAACGTTCAAATTATCGTCGTGATTGTTTGTTGACTGTATTATATCATGCGGAGCGGAGGCTGATGTCCGCGAACCTTCGCGCTAATCGGACCGCTCATTGAACGACGCACGGGCCCATTCGCCGCAGCCTTCGAACTTGTGAACCGCGACTCCTCCATCAGTTGCACACGACAACGAGCCCGTTGGCCACACCGACTGCGGCGAATCGAAATCACCAGGAGATACATCGGAATCACAGTCGCGACGAGTGCACCAACCGGGCCGATTGCCTTTACCACGTGTCACTGGATTCCGAGCGCGGTGGCAGCGTGAATGACGGTACGCGCACCCCTCGGTCCTTCACCCGCCCCGCGGTGCATACTTCGCCTTTGCCCATAATTTACGCGGCTGCAATTACACCAGAATCGATAGCGAACTTCATACAGTCTGACTTCACCCTTTGAAGACGCCCGCATCGCACACGACCATGGACGACGAGCACAACCCAACGGCGAGCAGCCACAGCGACGCAGCGGAAGATGAAGACTTTGCAAGAATCATGCGCCAGGCGCAAATGGGGGCGGCGGAAGGCGAAGAGGACTTGCTAAGTGGCATCGCCTCGCGTCCACTTGAGGCTGGCGAGAAGGCGGATGATGCCGTGGATTACGAGGATATTGGCGACGATGATCTGCCTGAAGAAGAGTTTGAGTCGGGCGGAGGCGATGATGACGCTGGTATCAACTTTAGCGGAACCACAATGCAGGACTCCGGTGGCACACTCGATAACGGCGATGTGGATATGGATGATTTGTTTGGCGATGGCGATGCACAGGATGACCTTTTCGGAGACGACCCAGATCATTCGGATCCTACACGGGAAAATACACAGCACAAAGACGACCCACTCACATCCATCGAAGATCTAGTCTCAGAAGGCTTCAGCGTGGCTGGCCAGGACAAGTCGCAACAGAGCAGCCGCACCAATGCACAAACGGCGACTCAGGAGGAAGAGGAAGAGGAGGAAGACCCAGAAGTACGTGAACAGCTGGCTCTCTTCGCCCAATCTCTTCGCAAGAAGGACGAGTTGGCGGATGCACCTAAAAAGACATCAAGAGAAGAATTTGAGAAGATTTGGCCCAACTTCGAGGCAGACAAACCACCACGTTTTTTTAGCCTCGTACCGCGAAAACGCGCCTTTTACATCCCAAAAGTTCCGCCAAAGGCACCAAGGCCGTTCCAGATGAACAAACTTACTCTGGATATCGCACCAGACCAGGAGAAGAGTTTTCGATTACATCCCACAACCACCGCCAAGTCCGGTCGGCAACAAGAGGAGGAGCAAGGTGGAATCATACAAATCACGAGCACTACAGAAGATGACGGTGATGGGAACGAGCAGATGGATTTCGATCACTTCGATACGATTAACGATCACGAAATGATTGGCAATGTATCATGGAGCGACCTCAGAATTGCTTGTGAGGACTGGGAAGTTCCAGATGACTCAAACGCTGCAATCCTTTCCGAGAATGGTCAAGCACCAACTCCACCTGATAGTGTCAATGCTGGGCAGTCACCAAACAAGAAACGCAGACTCGGAGACCACGACCAGCCCATTCAATTTTCTGTGTACGATCACATGGATTTGCCCACTTGGGACGACCCTGAGCTGGAAACAGCGAAGTTGTCAAAGAAGATTCTCTTGGATATGAACGACCCTCATCTCCTGCTGGACGTACAACAGCCGAGTGCAGAGCCTCCAAAGCCTCGAACATTGGGTCTGGGACTCAAGCGTGATAGTCGCGGTAGTCTCGCGAATCCAATGTTCAAGCGCTACAATATTTCCAATGATGAGGCATATGACGCGCTCAAAGAGAGCAGTCAACAGAAGGTTCGTAGTACTATTGGACACATGAACGTTGAGCACAGTCTGCCCGCACTCAAGTTGCAGTATCCGTTCTACAAGGTTGCACTTTCTGATCGCGAACTTCGGTCCTTCCATCGGCCCACTATTACGTTCAAGCCTGGTGAGCGAGCCAGTATCTCGTCACTCAAGTCAGTCAAAAGGAAACACAAGAAAAACCTCAAACCATCGGAGGCCTTCGCCACTGCAGAGGACCTCAACATTGGTGACAACTCAGATCTCCTCCTCGCCGAATACTCGGAAGAGTACCCTACCACTTTGTCCAACTTTGGCATGGGCATCAAGATTCTCAATTACTACCGACGGAAAGACATGGAAGACACGGCACGTCCGAAGCCAGAAGATGGAATTGGAGAAACATCGATTCTGTTACCGCAGGATAAGAGTCCTTTCTCTCTGTTTGGCCAAGTTGAGCCAGGCCAGCAGGTATTGACGCTCCACAACGCCATGTATAGAGCGCCAGTGTTCAAGCACAAGCCTGAAGAGACCGATTTCCTTGTTAGCAGAAGCTGGACTGGGGTTAATGGCCCCAGATACTACATGCGGACTATTCCCAACCTTATGGTGGTTGGCCAGCAGTTCCCATCCGTCGAAGTGCCCGGTACGCATGCCCGAAAGGTTACTGAAGCATCGAAGAAGCGACTCAAGATGCTGGCGTTCAGATTGTACCGAAAGGGACAACAGAGAGGAGCGCGACAACCTTGGGTTAGTAACGAAATGATCAAGCAGCATCTTCCAGGTACTGAAATTGCGCAAAATCGCTCTCGAATGCGCGAAATCATGAAGTACCAGAAGGACATTGGTACCTGGGAGCCTGTGCCTGGTGAGACTGTGCCTGAAGAACCAATTCTACGCACTTGGATAAAGCCGGAAGACGTTTGTCTTATTGACTCCATGCATGCTGGTGACAAGCAGCTTCAGGATGCCGGTATCAAATCGAATGAGATCCGTGATGACGATGATGAAGCAGACAACGAAAACGCTGATGTCAAGTTGGCACCATGGAACACCACGAAGAACTTCTTGAACGCATGTGCCGGCAAGGCGATGCTGGAGCTTCATGGAGAAGGCGACCCTACTGGACAAGGCTTGGGTTTCAGTTTCATCAAGGTCTCGATGAAGGGTGGCTTTAGGGATGTTGGTGAGAGTGCCGCTGATCGACTTGACAGCAAGAAGATGAAGGAGCTTGGCGGTCACAGCTACAACGTACAGCGCCAGCAGGTTATGTATGAGAACGCCATCAAGCGTATCTGGAACAAGCAGAAAGAGAGTCTGTCTGCTCAGAACCCGCCTTCCGATACCGAGGACGATGTCGATACGGCCGTGCCTCGCAACAATCTCCCACGCCAACGCTCTGAGATGGGAACGCCAGCTACAATGCGCCATGACGATGAGACAATGTCACAAATGTCTCGCAATAGCAATGCAGACAATCGCGGCAAGAAGCTCAAGATCACACGAACTATCAAGAACAAATACGACGAGTATGAGGACGTCACGGAAATTATCACAGATCCAGCTGTCATTCAACTCTACATCAAGCACAAGCGCCAAGAGCGTCTGCTGAACATGCGTATCGAAGATATCAAGCCCACCGGCGACCCCGAAGTAGACAAGGCCCAGCAGATCAAGCTCAAGGCCGAACTTGCCCGTCTGGCCCGCAACATAGAACGTCGCGAGGGCCGCGAAAAGGCAAAGGGTCTACACAAATCGCAGACAGGAGAAGGAGGCGTAACCGGTGGTCCAGGAAAGGGTGGAGCAACACCTCGCAAGTGCGCTAACTGCGGCGAGGTGGGCCACATCAAGACAAACAAAAAGTGTGTTAACAAGTTCTCTGAAATTCCTCTCACTCTTTTATCATTTGGATCGTTTTTTGCTAACAATGTTTCAGGCTATGTCCTCTTCTTAATGGCCAGAGGAAACAAAACGACACTTTCAAGGATGCGAATGCTGCGTCACCGGCTACTGCTACTGTTCCTGCCACTCCTTCTTTTGCTGGTTCGCCGTCTTGAAATCGGGAGCAGTCTTGGAGATCGTGTTTATGGGTCTATCTCTTATCGCGATGGTGTAATGGCGGTTCCGTGGCACTGCTACTCGTCAGCTTTGCGTTCACGTTGGTATGAGACGGAGACGTGGTACAAGTATCACCTTTCCAACAAGCGCATTTGCGCTATGATGTGCTGAGTAGCAATGAGGACGGCTCCTTCGTGTACATGCAAGTATGGAAAGGAATATCATGCTTGCCATCTCACTGATCCAGGGCTGGATTGTTTGGGCTTTACGGAAGGTGTGGTGAAGCGCTGAGGAAGTGTGTTACATATTATTCTTTCTTTCTTCCTCTCTTGAGAAGAGAGTTTTCGTTCGAATGCATAGCGACGGTGTTTTGGGACGCTGCATTTAATCTTCATCACGCAAAAAGGGACACATATTTATAGTTGTCAGTCATTAGGAACTGTACAGGCAGAAAACCGAACCCGAGTCAGACAGGGAAGTTATCAACTATTAAAGAGCCGTAGGGTCGAACAGGAGGTTATAAGACAATTTGTCTAGTGAACATCCTATTTATTTTCCTCCTCCATCTCGAAATCAAAGTCTCCAAAATACACACATAGAGCCTATCTTCATTAGTATCGCTATTAAGATCATGATAATCTATTTTCACTTACCTTACTAGCACCCATCATAGCATAATGTGCCACCTCGAGCTTCTTGCCATCCTGACCATATCTGGCAATTTGATTGAGATCCGACGTCCTCGGCAGGTACAATACCACTTCATTGCTCACTTTGGTAAAGGCTTTGTAGAGCTGGTCAAGATTATACGGTTCCATCTTTGTAAGATCAAAGACATTCTCTGCACCATACTCGGTCCCTGTACCCTATCAGC